TATATATATATATATATATATATATATTATTTATTTATTTATAGGTACATTATTGGATATGTAATTTACATATATTTTTTTTCAATTTGCAATTTTAGGAGGCGGTATGTGAGAGGGAATGACAACCAAAAGAAATGGGGTGATTGATATGCTATTAAAAGGGAGTGTTAATTACAATTATGACAGTTAATGAAATGCTTGAAATAAATTATAAATAAAATATGAAGTTTGGTGGTAACGATGTAAAAATATAAAAATACTATGACCTATTATATCCTACTAGTCATTTAAATTTGAAATTGAGTTTTACACATAGATTTATAGAGTGATGGGTATATATCTAGGAAATAGAAAATGTAGGAATCTATATTGGACAAATATATAATATTTCCTTTTATAACAAAAAACAATTGAATGGGAGTATCACAAGCTTGCGTGCATCTCTCGAAAACAAGGAACAAGGGCAAGTACCATGCAATTTCCATCGTTATTTTTGTCATTGACAATATCAAGCATATTTGTATAACATGTACGTAAGGGCCAAACAATCATGTTTCGTGGCGGACATTATGCCACTCTCAGTGTGTGTATGTATATATACATACATACATACATACATGTAAACTGGTCTTCAATATATCAGAAAACAAGTACCAAACAAGAAGCAAGCATGTATAGAGTAGCAAGCCCTTCAGAATATCTGGTGATCACCGGGGCCGGGATCGACGACATAAAGCTCGCAAAGAAGGGATGGATCCTCCCTGGACAATCTTACATCATCTTCGACATGTCCCCCGTCAACTATACCTTCGAAGTCCAAGCCATGAGCATCGAGAAGCTCCCCTTCATGCTCCCCGCCGTCTTCACTATCGGCCCCCGCATCGACGACATGCCCAGCCTCCACAAGTACGCCAAGCTCATTTCTCTCCACGACAAGCTCTCCAGCCACGTGAAGGAGCTCGTCCAGGGCATCATCGAGGGCGAGACGCGTGTCCTCTCTGCCTCAATGACCATGGAGGAGGTGTTTAAAGGGACCAAAGAGTTTAAGCAAGAGGTGTTTGAGAAGGTTCAGTTGGAATTGAATCAGTTCGGGCTTTTGATATATAACGCAAACGTCAAACAGTTGGTGGATGTTCCTGGACATGAGTATTTTAGTTACTTGGGGCAGAAGACACAGATGGAGGCGGCCAATCAGGCTAAAGTTGATGTGGCGGAGGCGAGGAAGAAAGGAAAGATAGGGTCCAAGGAGAGGGAGGGGTTGACGCTGCAGAATGCCGCGAAGATTGATGCAGAAACAAAAATATATGCCACGAAGAGGGCCGGGGAGGGGATGATGGCGGAGATAAAGGTGAAAGCAGAGGTGAAGGTGTATGAGAATGTGAGGGAGGCTGAGGTGGCCAAGGCGAATGCTGAGCTGGCAAAGAAGAAGGCCGGGTGGGGGAAGGAGGCGCATGTGGCGGAGGTAGAGGCCATGAAGGCGGTGGCGTTGAGGGATGCGGAGCTGCAGACGGAGGTGGAGAGGATGAATGCCTTGACTAGGACGGAGAAGCTTAAGGCTGAGTTTTTGAGTAAGGCCAGCGTTGAGTATGAGACAAAGGTATGTACGTGACTATAACGTGGGTAGCTTGTTCTTTTTGTGTTTTGTTTTGTTTGTAAAAAAAGATGTTACTCATGATGTTTACTAATCATATTATGTGGTATCTGACCAATTAGCTCTTAGTTTGGAGAAATTTTTGTATGTTTGAGGTACACTATGTGTTTGGTGTACCATCTAATACACATACGACAAGTAGATATACGGACATGTTTTATTTTTATGTCCTATATGTATGTTATAAAATATTTCCACATGTTCCATGTGTATTGGATGGTGTACCTGTAAAAATTACTTCTTAATTTATACTTTTCTTTCAAAAGTGCTAGTAGATTCTATATTTAAATATATAGTAAATTTGACTCTTCCCCTTCAAATTAATATTTTCTAATCTACAACCCATCGTTTTATTTTTCTATAAATAGAACCCAATTTTATAAAAAAAAACCCGATGACTAGGATCCAACTCATCAAGTTTCCGAATCAAGTTTAATGTGCTAAATGTTATATTTTTAAAATTCCTATAATACCCTTGATTACATTTTTAATGTGATTTGTTTAAGAAATTAGCTGCAATTCAATGCCTATTAATTGTGCTTCAGTTTTGTATAGATTCCAAGGATTTAATGGGTCAGTTTTTTCCTTATTTAAAAAAAAGTAATTAAAGCTTGGTGTAATTACTGCCGTATGGTTTGAATATACTCGTTGTTCCTATAAAAAAAACTAAGAATATACTCGTTTTTAAAAAAAAATTTGACCACTTGATCATTTCGTATTTTAATTTTCAAATTGATAGCTTATTTATTTCCTTTTATTTATACAAATTTCCAAATTTAATAATTGTTATGGTTTGAAATTAATTTGTTCAAAGGGAAATAACATGTTGCTCTCTATTTGACCCCTATGTGTTTAGGTACATGAATTTACCTACATTTTTTCTTAGCAACCTATGCCTCTACATTTACCTATACGCATTTATAGGTATATTGTAAAATAATTTACCTATGAGTAAATAATGTACCTATATTTTCTATAGGTAAATATGGGTAAATAATGTACCTATTGGATAAAATATTAATTACAATTATGGCAGTTAATGAAATGCTTAAAATAAATTATAAATAAAATATGAAGTCTTGTGGCAACAATATAAAATCATAGGAATACTATGACCTCTTATATCCTACTAGTCATTTAAGTTTGAAATTGGGTTTTACACATAGATTTATAAAGTGATGGGTATATGTCTAGGAAATAGAAAATGTAGGTACCTATATTGAACAAGCCCTTAAATATATCATCATTTTCTTATGGAAAATGGTAGATTTACCACATTTTTATACCACATTCTGTATCACCTCTCTAATAGAGGTGGGCCCCATTGTATTGGTGGACTCCACCTCTATTTGAGAGGTGGTACACAGTGGTATAAAAATGTGGTAAGCCTAACATTACCCTTTTTTTATTGATAAAAAAAACTTTCATCAGTGTGAATCATAATCATTATCTATACTAACGACAATATTGTATAGCATATCCATGATTATAATCTTTGTATATTCTTTAGTATATACTCTTGAATATTTTAGTATGTATATATAAAATCTTTGTTCTCTCAATCTAGGTATACTTAAGTTTTACTAAAAAAAATATGATCAATATATATGATGCTCTGGTACATATTATAAGTTAGAAAACAAGCTTTATATTTTGTTTGGGAGGTTCCCAAAACATGAAATTTTAGATGAGTTGCTTTCTAGCTCGTTCTTGTATAAAGGTTAAGGATAATTGTTTATCAAGGCAGTTCATGATATCAATGCTTTATCTAACACTAGTGTTCATAAACAAAGGTACAAGAAGCAAATTGGGAGTTATACAACAAACAAAAGGCCGCGGAAGCAATTCTTTACCTAAGGGAGAAAGAGGCTGAGGCACAGAAGGCAATTGCAGAGGCAGAATTGTATGCTTGTCAACAAGTTGCAGATGGAGAATTTTATGCCAAGAAAAAAGAGGCTGAGGGCCTCATGGCTCTTGGACAAGCCCAAGGTGCCTATCTACGCAATCTTTGGGACGCAGCTGGAGGCAACTATGCAGCCATGAGGGATTTCATGATGATCAACGGCAGCATATTTCAAGAAATTGCTAAGATTAATGCCGATGCCGTGTGTGGACTTCAACCCAAAATCAGCATTTGGACTAATGGAGGCGGAGAGGGCGGCAGAAATGGGGCCATGAAGGACGTTGCTGGAGTTTACAAGATGTTGCCACCATTGTTCAAGACAGTTCATGAACAAACTGGAATGCTGCCACCGGCATGTATGGGCACTTTGCCAAATTCTGGTTCTAACAACTAGTACTCTCAATTGAGTTCGAGAGTGTCACTATTTGAACTAGCCATTTTGTGTATCATGTCTTTAAGTACATGTGAGACTAACAGAAGTGTGAACAATGTCTTTCTATTAAAGAGATGACACAATATGGTCAGTTGAGATGGTACAGCGGATTGTGAGATTATTATATTATCATAATTAATGTTGCCTTTGTATGGGTATATATGTATAGCCAAATTTAAATTGCCATTGTAGTGCAGCCAAAATTGTACCAGACCAGCTAGGCTGGTGTCATGCTGCTCTTCACATTTGAGGATTTGGTTGGCATAATGTGGAATCTAATTGGAGTCATGTCAATAAGAGACAGCAGTGACCTCAACATGTTGAATTCTTGCCAATTTTTGTACCTTAAAACTGTATATGAGCGGGATAAGTAGTAAATATTTCTTTTTAGTTGGTACATATTTGTCACGCCCCGGACCCGGGGGTAGGCGGAAACCCCGCGCCCGGTGTGTGAGAAAAAAAAATAAAAATAAAAATAAAAATAAATAAAAAGGAAGCCGAAACAGAAAATAAACTTTTCTTATAAAAATAGCTCCCAAAAATCTTACAACTTTACAATAAATAAATAAAGCTCTATCACTCTCATCTAATTTAGCTTGAACTGGTTTAGTCCTTGTCTTGCCCACTAATTCATCTGAAAAATTAAACATGGTGAGGGATGAGCAACCACCGCTCAGTAGGGACATGAGACCTTACCACAGGAAATTGATATAAATAAATTAAGTGACATGCAATCACACAACAAAATATCATATTAATAATATTAATGCATGAATGAATGCTCTTCATCTAATCCCGTTAATTCATATAACTGGACAAGCAGACCTGCACGTCCCATACCATGCTTATACCACTTGGTCCCGAATGCCCATTTATATGAACACCCATTTCAACCGTCCCATAATTTCCCCTTTTGTTAGTCATCTTGTCTAACTCCCTTTCGCCAGTCCCGAATCACCCAATAAAAACCATGTGCACTGTGGGATCCCTGAGACCTGGTACCTGCCAAGAGTTAGACTCAACTACACAAAAGATCTTTCCCATTACCCTCTTTTCCATACTTTCTTTATCAACCCAAGAATTCTAGCCATCACCGATAACATGATATAATTATGCATTTCAAATAATAATAGCATGCATAATATAGTGCTCACGAAATTTAATTAGATCAATCCCCGTAAAGGCACCCCAAGAAATCCCTACCTCGATTCCAAGGCATTGCTCCAAGTTAAGAAAATACAAGCTACGTTCTATATCTCCCGCAAGAAATTCATCACCTCTCTCTCTCTCTCTCTCTCTCTCTCTCTCTCTCTCTCTCTCCATTTTCTATGCACAAAGTGTCCTATATATATATATATATATATATATATTATATATAGGAATATGTCGGCAGTGACTTCCTTCTTAACAATTAATAGATAAGAACATACTAAGACTTACCATTCAAGTTATATTCTAGCTATGTTTACTAAGCATTGTTTTTCTTTGACACGTACAACACTACCATGACTAAGCATATCAATATATATATACAGTGTAGGTTATTTATGTAATACACACACACACACACATATATATATATATATATATATAAAATAGAATAAGATATTTATCTTAATAGAATAATATATGTAATAAAATAAGATATAAATATTTATTTCTTCAAATTATTAATATATATACTTTTAAAAATACGGTCTTCACAATATTTATGTGCACGTTTCAGGTTATTTGAGTTTGTGAAATGACTGCTTGAGGGCCTGTTTGGGAACCTTTTTGTTTTCCATTTTTTGAATTTTTTAAATTTATTTTTTATTTAGTTTTTGCTTTTTTCAGGTTAGAGATAGAGAGGAGATATATGAATAAAGGTACAGATGAAGGAGGAAGGGTTGGTGTGAGGGAGGTGGAATCAATTGTGCATGCATCAAATGCTGTACTTCAAATGAAAACTATTAAAACTAAGTGCCCGTTTGATAACTTTCAATTTTAGTTTTTAGTTTTTAATTTTTGTGCTAGAGTATAGAGAAAAAGGAGGGAGAATGGAAGTGAGATTGAGGGAAGATGAGAGCGGAGGATGGGAGGGAGAAGTAACAAAAGTGAAAAGCAAAACCAAAAATTGAAATCTATTTAAAATTGTTTTCACTTTTGTTACTCCTCCTTCCCATCCTCCCCTCTCATCCTCTCTCTCAATCTCATCCTCACTCCTATTCTCACCCTCATTTTCCTCATATTCTAGCACAAAAAATACGAAAACTAAAAACTAAAATTGAAATGGTTATCAAACGGCCCTAAACATATGTTCTAGCTTTTGTTTCATTCATACTCCTTTTCTCCCCCATCTCTCTTTTCTTCCGTGCATTTTCTCTCTAATTCTAAAAGAAAAAAACATGCTACTTCAAAAGACGAAAAATGTTGGCAAACCTTTATACCTTCCTGCTGGCAATTTCCGTCTTCTTGGAAGAAACTGATGTGAATGTCAACAAGTCTTGCTAGCTAATATGAAAAGGATTGAGTGCAAGCAATCTGTCCTTGTGAACTTCATGTCTATATTTTCTAGAAAATATTTACAACTAGTTTGAGTTGGGAGACAAAACTGTTGCCCAGCTTTCCTAGGCCGTATATATATATATGAAATATTTCATCGGAAACAATGCCAAATTTGCTAATTGCAATTGATCGAAAGAGTCCGATTTGCAGTCTCAGATTTGTCTGGACACCCGAATTAATGTACATAATTAACAAGTCGTATGATACTCAAACGCATTTCAAGCCGACAAAGAAAGAAAAAACTATAATATCCCCTTCGATAGCGGATAACAAGGAACAAGGGAAAGCAACACGCACCATGCAATTTCCATCGAAGAGCAATCCAATTTTCTCATTGACAATATCAAGAGATTTGTGAAACATGTACGAAAGGGCCAAAGAGAAAGTTTGTTCCAAACAATTATGTTGCGTGGAGGACACGCCACTAAGTGTATATAGTTATAAACTGGTTTTCAATATCACAAAACAATTAGGGGGAACAAAAAGAAAGCAAGCAAACATGTATAAAGTAGCAAGCCCATCAGAATATCTGGTGATCACCGGCGTCGGGATTGAGGACATAAGGCTTGCAAAGAAGGGATGGATCCTCCCCGGACAATCCTACATCATCTTCGACATGTCTCCCGTCAATTACACCTTCGAAGTCCAAGCCATGAGCTCCGAGAAGCTCCCCTTCATGCTCCCCGCCGTCTTCACTATCGGCCCCCGCATCGACGACATGCCCAGCCTCCACAAGTACGCCAAGCTCATCTCACGCCACGACAAGCTCTCTACCCACGTCAAAGAGCTTGTCCAGGGTATCATAGAGGGGGAGACGCGTGTCCTCGCTGCCTCAATGACCATGGAGGAGGTGTTTAAGGGGACCAAAGAGTTTAAGCAAGAGGTGTTTGGGAAGGTTCAGTTGGAACTCAATCAATTTGGGCTTTTGATATATAACGCAAATGTCAAACAGTTGGTGGATGTCCCGGGGCATGAGTATTTTAGTTACTTGGGGCAGAAGACACAGATGGAGGCGGCCAACCAGGCTAAAGTTGACGTGGCGGAGGCGAGGAAGAAGGGGGAGATAGGGTCCAAGGAGAGGGAGGGGTTAACGCTGCAGAATGCCGCTAAGATTGATGCAGAAACAAAAATATATGCCACGAGGAGGGTCGGGGAGGGGAGGATGGCGGAGATAAAGGTGAAAGCGGAGGTGAAGGTGTATGAGAACGTGAGGGAGGCTGAGGTGGCGGAGGCAAATGCTGAGCTGGCGAAGAAGAAGGCTGGGTGGGCGATGGAGGCGCAGGTGGCGGAGGTGGAGGCCGCAAAGGCGGTGGCGTTGAGGGATGCGGAGCTGCAGAAGGAGGTGGAGAGGATGAATGCCTTGACTATCACGGAGAAGCTTAAAGCTGAGTTCTTGAGTAAGGCCAGTGTTGAGTATGAAACAAAGGTATAATTTGTTTTGTTTGTTTTTCTTTTCTTTTTAGGAAAAAGTATTGAATAATTATAATAAAAATAAATTAATATTGATATCATCTAACATGATCAGTGTTAATAAACAAAGGTACAAGAGGCAAATTGGGAGTTATACATCAAACAAAAAGCCGCGGAAGCTATTCTTTACCAAAGGGAGAAGGAGGCCGAGGCACAGAAGGCAATTGCTGAGGCAGAATTATATGCTCGTCAACAAGTTGCAGATGGAGAATTTTATGCAAAGAAAAAAGAGGCTGAGGGTCTGATGGCCCTTGGACAAGCCCAAGGTGCATATCTACGCACTCTTCTGGACGCCGTTGGCGGCAACTATGCAGCCATGAGGGACTTCATGATGATCAAAAGCGGCATGTTTCAAGAAATTGCTAAGATCAATGCTGAGGCCGTGCGTGGACTTCAACCCAAAATCAGCATTTGGAATAATGGAGGCGGAGAGAGCGGCGATGGCGGCCATGGGGCTATGAAGGAGGTGGCTGAGGTTTACAAGATGTTGCCACCATTGTTCAAGACAGTTCATGAACAAACTGGAATGCTACCACCGGCTTGGATGGGCACTTTGTCCGATTCTCATTCAACCAACTCGGCTCTTAATTGAGTTTGAGACAATTCTAGACACCAAACGTGGCCTTGCCTAAAACTTTGTTCTATGTACTTAGTTCTACTTTGACATGTATGAGTTTAGGGGCAAAACTGTTAGCCATAATGGAAGTTTTTGGGAACGAATTTACCTGCTGTCTGTGGAGTTGTGGAACAAAACTGTTGTTGGCTGTATAATAAGAAATTTATAATCAAGAAACAAAACATGCCTGTGTTGATTAAAAAATAATAATAATAAAATAACATGCCTGTGTTGGCCGTGCATAATAAAATTATAAGACCAAATCCCAATTGTTGGCTGTATGCAAATGAATTAATAAGAACTTACTCGCAAACATATGGCCATGTCCTGTACAATGTTACATTATATAGGAATGAACAAATCAAATGTCGTTGACAATTTCAAGCCGAAAAGAGAAAGGGGAAATAATCCCTTGAATTACTGAATCCAAAAACTCGCTACTAGAAAACCTCATTATAGGACTATGTACTGATATACACTTGTGGCCTATATTCATGTTAGTCAATCCGTGGCCCCCGGTTGGACACAAATCAAGTGATCTACTGCAATGGAAGTGGGTGTTGCTAGGTTAGGGTTTGTTTATATTTAATTTAATGTACTCTCTAGTTGGTTGTGGGGCCTTGGGCTTAGAACACTAGATGTGTTTAAGTACTCTCTAGTTGTTTGTGGGGCCTTACGTTTAGAATTGTTCCAAAATTCCAAACAAATAGTAGTACGATTTTGTATAAACGAGTTTGAGACTTAGGGATGAAATCCCAATTTGACATGATTATTAATTCGTAATTGAAATTAAAATAAGGAGTTGAATTCCTATTATGATACTCATGTGTTTACTTTACATGGAGGAATCAAAAATGCAAGTGGGACTCACACAAAATTAGGAATTCAACTTCTGATTTAGGAGGAATTTGATTCTTGGGTGCGAGGCGGTATTCTAATTCATGGAGAACTAACCCATTAGGAATCCATCTTTTTTACCCATTATATCCTCACATAATTTTTAAAATTCTTTGTCATCTACTTTAACCCAATAACAAGCGCATTTTAGTAATTAATTTGATTTCAATTCCAATTCATGACGATAATTTTTACGGCTTGAAACCTGATAGTCATGTCTCATGTCCATGGGACAAGAAACCTTCAAAACCTGGCAGTATCATTCTCCTGGTCCACGGGACCAAGCAGTTTCTTGGGAAAGTGCCATTGGATTAAATCCAACGGTGGATAGGAGTCTAAACAATAAACTCAGTTTATAGCTTTTAATGTCCATTTTTTTGGGGAAATAATTTTGAAAGCAAATTTTCAAAAAGAAAACTAAAGGACTTTAGCATCAGTAGTAGTACGCCTCCCAAGTTTATAGAATTTTTCTCCTTCAATTCTCTTATCGAAGGGTTTAGTCTCTTTCTTGTCTCTTCTTCAACCTTAACAATTTTTCTCCATTTACAACCCTTTACGACATGCATTTCTCTAATATGTATTTTGGGGTCCTTATTCCTGTTTGAAAATTGCTTTAATCAAGGTGGTTGGTGTGAGTGGTTCGGCACTCTCATTCCTTAAGAGAGGTCAGGGGTTCGATCCCTGCTCTCGTACGGAGTCACCACTTTGGCCAACACTTTACCCCTTACGGGCCGACCCGGTGTGAGTGGGGATTAGTCTAGGTTGTGATTAAGGCTTAAAGGTGCCACCCATAGTTGGGGCCTATCCAGGACCACCTCATGGTTCAGACCAAAAAAAAAAATTGCTTTAAATATTTTTTACCGAAAAATATTGACATTAAAAGCTATAAACTGAGTTTATTGTTTAGACTCCTATCCACCGTTGGATTTAATCCAATGACAGTTGCCCAAGAAACTCCTTGGTCCCCGTGGACGAAGAGAACGGTACTGCCAGGTTTTGAAGGTTTCCTGTCTCATCCCATGCACATGACATGATTATCAGGTTTTGATGATATAGGAATATCCATAAATCAAACACATTGTTGACAATTTCAAGCCGTAAAAAATGGAGGAGTAAAAGAAGTTGGATGTGACATGACCACCTTGTAATATGTCGACGTGGTATTACAAGTCTCCCATTATTAATATCCAAATTCTTATCCTAAACTATATACGAGTATTCTTTTTTCATCTCTCTCATAGCTTATTTTTTTGTTCAACATCTCTCTCATATCAAAACCCTAATATCTACTGCCGTCTACAAACAAGAGAAACACAGAAGAACCAACCATGTGGTACAGAGTTGCGAAAGCTTCAGAGTATCTAGTGATCACCGGGGCAGGGATCGACGACATAAAGCTTGCAAAGAAGGCATGGATCCTCCCCGGACAATCCTACACCGTCTTCGACTTGTCCCCAGTCAACTACACCTTCGAAGTCCAAGCCATGAGCTCCGAGAAGCTCCCCTTCGTCCTCCCCGCCGTCTTCACCATTGGCCCCCGCGAGGACGACATGCCCGGCCTCCATAAATACGCCAAGCTCCTTTGCAGCCACGACATGGCCTCCAACCACGTCCAAGAGCTCGTCCAGGGCATCATCGAGGGAGAGACGCGGGTTCTCGCTGCCTCGATGACGATGGAGGACGTGTTCAAGGGGACCAAAGAGTTTAAGCAAGAGGTGTTTGATAAGGTTCAGTTGGAGCTGAACCAATTCGGGCTTCTGATATACAATGCGAATGTGAAACAGTTGGTGGACGTCCCAGGGCATGAGTATTTTAGTTACTTGGGGCAGAAGATACAGATGGAGGCGGCGAACAAGGCTAGGGTTGATGTGGCGGAGGCGAAGAAGAAAGGGGAGATAGGGTCCAAGGAGAGGGAGGGGATGACCCTGCAGAACGCGGCGAAGATTAATGCGGAGACTAAGATCTATGCAACGAAGAGGGAAGGAGAGGGGAAGAAGGAGGAGATAAAGGTGAAGTCGGAGGTGAAGGTGTATGAGAACATGAGGGAGGCTGAGGTGGCGGAGGCAAATGCTGAGCTGGCGAAGAAGAAGGCCGTGTGGACTAAGGAGGCGCAGGTGGCGGAGGTGGAGGCAGCGAAGGCTGTGGCGCTGAGGGATGCAGAGCTACAACAGGAGGTGGAGAAGATGCATGCCTTGTCTAAGACGGAGAAGCTTAAGGCTGATCTCTTGAGTGAGGCCACTGTTGAGTATGAAACCAAGGTACGTCTTGTACTTGTCCTTTTTCTTTCCTTTCTTTTGAAAATATAAAATTGAATGCATATATAAAAACTGAGTTGGTTGGTGATCTGTATGAAACAAAATTAGTGTTACATTGATCATAGAAAAATATATTATGTGACAGTTGATGTATTTACTATATATCAAGTGAATCACAATCACCATTAACCCTAATAATTTATGTCGTAAGTACGAACATGATCAATCGATGATTATTAGTAAATGTGGTTGATATTGTAGAATTAGTTCATTTTATTAATCTGTATTCTTGTACAAAACAAAAGTCTGAATCTAATGCTGTTGGATAATTATATATTAATTAGTATAATGCTTGCTTTTTCTAACATATATATTTATATATTTATGAACAAAGAAACTAGAGGCAGATGGAGCGCTGTTCCAAAAACAAAAAGCAGCAGAGGCAGAGCTTTTTACCAAGAAACTAGAAGCTGAAGCACGACTCTATGCCAAGAAACTAGAAGCCGAGGCACAAAAGGCAATTGCAGAGTCCCAACTTTATGCCAAGAAACAAGAGGCCGAGGCACAGAAGGCAATCGCAGAGGCACAACTTTATGCCAAGAAACTCGAGGCCGAGGGGCTCATGGCTCTTGGGCAGGCTGAAGGTGCGTATCTTCGTAGTCTTCTGGAAGCAGTTGGAGGCAACTACAATGCCACCAGGGACTTCATGATGCTCAAGAATGGCACGTTTCAAGAAATTGCTAAGATTAACGCCGATGCTATTAGGGGACTTAAACCCAACATTAGCGTTTGGAATAATGGCGGCGGAGACAGCAGTGCCAATGGGGCCTTCAAGGAGGTTGCTGGAGTTTACAAGATGTTGCCACCATTGTTGAAGACAGTTCATGAACAAACTGGCATGTTGCCTCCGTCTTGGATGGGCACTTTGTCCAATTCTCCTTCTACCAACTCGACTCTCGATAGCACCTAAATTCTTTTAAGTTCTCCATTTTTGTTTCTGTTATAAAGAGATGGTCACAGGTATAACTAGTTTCGTACAACTTTTTCTATTTGCTTTATTCTATTTGTTGATGGGATACTATTTGCTTAATGGTGTGGAACCTTTTTTGACTTTTGGTACACGAGATTGCATGATGCAATGGATTTACGAAAGAAATTACAGACTTGAGAAAGAAATATTCCTGACCTAGACTGGAGAACCCATGACTAATAATAATATTAACATGGCATGGCTGCCGGGTGAGGGAGAAAGAGAACAAAAGCAGCTAACAGGGATTTTGCATTTAAGCCTTACTTCCATCATAAACAACCGCAGGTCATTCTTTGAATTGATAGTCTTTCCAGTAACATTTACAACAAACAAAAGGTATTAATTACATGATTCAGCCTCAATTCAAGAAGCGCCTGCAATTCTTTGAATTGCAAAAACATGGAATCTTCTTACCTTCATCCTCATGGTTAAAATGGTAGTCATATGTTATCTCTTCTCCAGGAAATATGTCCCGCTCTGCGAAAAATACCACCTGCAGCGAATTGGTAAAATCAGTAAATACTCCCAACAAACGTAAATTCTGTACATCACAAAATTGAGAAACCACTTCTACTAGGTGAACTCAAGTGGCCAGGCATAGCCAATTTTCAAAAGAGAAGAAAAAATCAGTATCATAATAGAATATCCAATTACCTTCTTCTCATTCCTCACAGATATCACTTTGGCAACGCAGTTTGGCTGGTCCCAGGTACACCAACAACAAAGTAAGAAAACTGAGTGAAGTACATAAAGCTAAGAAATTACTCTAATCTTTCATAAATTTAGGAAAGCCAAATGCAGTCAGTAACATCGAAAAATAATAAATAAACCTCAAAATTCTTTGTTGTGCTTTCCATGCTCAGACAAAATTGCTTCCTAAGTTTTCTAATTGCGATGAACTGTAAAATTATCCAAACCCAAATGCATAAGCAGAGCCCAACAAACATTCATTCTTGAACATGAAAATTTTGAAGAAAAAAAAAAAAAAAGATTGGCTCTGGGCTTAACAAGAAGCTGAGACCCAAGAAAACCAGCAACAACTGGTTCACGACTCAAACTTAAGAAGAGAGAATTACCACGCATGAATGGTTGACAAAACGAGCAATCCCTCCTTTGCATGTAGCATCAATAATATGCTCTTTATCTATCCTGAAGAAGTAGCAAGCGCTCTTGTACTGAAGCTTTTTCCCAGATTGGTATTCATTTTCCCTTTTATCAGCAACACGTAGCCCCACAATCTCTCCAACATACTCAACAACCTACAGAACAGAAGCACAAGGATACATCATATTTGGAATTATAGGAAGCATGTATGTGCCTCGATCTTTAAATATGAGAACATCAAACCATTTCACTGCGGGAAATGAACCGAGACGTGTAAAGGCCAAGGGCATGTATGCCAGACTTGTACACTACAAGATGCTTCCAGAACTTTGCCTGCTTATAGCGTGCATATTCTTTCTGCAAGTGACAGTAACACTATGTGGTTAAGTAGTCTTAGAAAGGTAAAATAAAATATCATAGATGCAACACAATCAGCTGAAGCGTTTTATCTCACCATTAGACTGAACAATCAAAAACTGGGTATCTCATTTAATTGCAAACTTTTGCATTAATATGTTGCATGGATCATATCAGTCAAATCACATAATTAAAAACTGACACCCTGTTTTCTATGTCTAACACTACTATCAAGAAATGAAACATAAGTCTACATTTGCAAAATGTGTTAGCCATAGAGTTTTAATACATCGCTCTTTATACAAAACAAAATGAATAACCAAAAACAATCATGAGGTAAAGCAGCCTCATCCCTAATGAACATACCCGACAATCATGCTCTATATCTGATACTGGCAGTTTTGGAAGCCCCTGAGTGGATGATTTCTGCCCATTAATATGAACCCAAGCATTTAACTGCTCCTGAGGAACAAGGCATCCGCCATTGCCCTTTGACTTATCACAATAATTATGTCTGAACCCATCACGTTTACGGCCCTTGTAACCCTACTCACAACAAAACAGCAAAATACAAAGAACTAATTTAGAAAAAGCACAATATGAAAGCCTAAGACTGCAGGTAACCAAGTGACACCCTCACACATACAATACCAACAAAGAAAAATGACAGAACAAAAAAACCTCAAAGAAAGGTCAAATACCTCAGTTCTAGCGCATGTTAATTCTTCTTCCTCGATGCAACCAGCTTCAGTGTTAACAGGGTCATGATTTGATTCACATGTTGGGTGTGTAGCATGAAGCACACATATTCCATAAAAACCAATATTTTCATTGTCAACACCTTCAAGTTCACTTTGCAACAGACCCTGAATGCGGCATGCACAAAAAACCAATGACAACAAACACAAAGAATAATGTTAATATTGACCAGTCAATGCTTCAACGTCTAAACTATAAAAATAAATTGCCTTTTAAAAGTAGGCACCAATAGCCTATTTTAAAGAAAATGTTAGATGCTTAAGCATGACAGGTTGACACTTGCATATATTTGACAATGCCAATTCAAAAAATAGCAGCATTATGTTGGATTGACCCTATATCAATCAAGCAAAGTTTTTGTTCATCTTCATATTCTCAATTTCTCACTGAGAACATAAAGCAAAGATCATGAATTTTGTGTGAGTGTAAGGATCAACAATTAGGAAGAGTCAAGACCTTCTGATGAGCACACCAAGGGTGAAATTGAGCAGAACAATTTGCAACTCTGCACTGTATACATGAACCGCCTGCTCGCTTACATATACAGCAAACCTGAATAAAAAATAAATGAAAATGAGAACTAATGTCCAACCACACATGACAAAATCCCGGGGGAGGGGGTTGACATAAACATATATAATTGGTAATTAATACTAGGAATGTCTTCTTACTATATTGTGTTTACTTTTGTATAAAATGGTATGTTTGGCAAAGGTTAATTAATTTCAAAGGGTTGCAATAGGTTGTCATGTTATGACTTCTTCTCTCCCAGGGAGTGACTCCCTAAACCAAATTGTGATTTACAAGTTTTGCCATGCCCAATCCTGATGGTCTGTCTAATTTTTCTTGATTTCTAGTCAGACTGAAAAATGCACTCTAATGTGCCAAACTCCAGTTCCATTTGTTACATATCCAGAACCCAAGTCTTCCAAAGCAAAGAAATCTTCATTGACATCCTCAATCAATATTGATACATCTATTTTTGCCTCAATTATTGATTTTAATGCTTACCACATCTGCTCTAGGATGTGCACCAGAGACATCAAAAGCACTCATTGTGTCAACATTTGGGCATCGTGTTCCAGGAGTCCAAAGCCCACAAACCATATGAACCCACTGCTTAGTTGCCGAATCAAGTAATCCCACTGTAATGCTGTTATGCATGACATCAAATTTGTAGGACATACCCATCTTACAGACAGCTGAGACCAAGGGCTGACCGTTTTCACGTTGGAGCACAAAGAAGGAGGAATTATCTTGATGTCCATAGCCAGAGTAATGCAACCCACTTGAGTCTTTTTGCAAAGTTTTAACAGAAGAAAGCTTGTTCTTGGCCATGCATTCTGTTTCAGCATTCCAAGCTCTCAGAAGGCTTTTCGCAACTGTGCGACTTCGGAGCGCTTGAGTCATGGCACCACCACCATAACCACATAGAACGCAAACCTAGATGAAGAAACAAATACATTACAAAACCACGAGTTAAAAAAGGTTAAGAGGAAAGAAAATCCATCTTCCATTCTCTCCCGTGTCTCACAAAATTTGGGTTGAAAGCAAAAGTTTCTAGCAGTAAGATGGGCAGACAAGATTTTAGTCCAACTCAACTATGAATTGTCCAGATCACCTATTAGAATTACCTTTGATTTCCAATTCAATTATAGCCTTAACAACACATGTAATAACTAAATTCCACTTGTAGGACCATTTAGATTGTTGGAATAAAATTCCAACTGAAAAAAGTTCACATTTGAATTACTGGCAACAATAATTTGAACAAGAAACAAAAAAAAAAGGCAAAAATAGAAGACAAGAGTCTTATAAGAGTAGTCTCAATAAAATAAGCAATTTACCACTGGCTATAGTGTGGGTAAGAAACCAAACATATAAGAAGTTTTTTTCTAAATGAAAGTTATACTAAAATAATAGCCTTCCTCTTACAATATCTTTTGAACTGGTCCGGCATGGCCTGCAACACCAATGGCCTTTAGGTAGTTTTGAGACACCGTAACAAGCCTGATGCACCTGTTCATCATGAAACTTCTGAATATCACCAAATGATTGCATAAGAAATAGGATGAAATTCAAGTTGAATATGCTCTGGGTAGCCACATACTTTGATAGAACATTGACTACACGTCAGTAAATTATTGATTTCATCTTTGTTTGAACTACCACAAACACAGCAGAATGCATCTGAATCCAAATCAGAATGGCATTGGTGCTCTAGAGTAGAACTGTAACAGAATTTACCAAAATTCAAAACCAATCATCAGTATTTATAATTTACATTCTTAATCACCATTTATATAAGGTGCCAAGAAAGGAAAGATCATTATTTATACTGCCTTCCAAGAAAGAAATAAGACAACTTTTGAAGCAAAATAATTAGAGGATCAATTTGCTCGCTCACCTTTTAGAACTAAGTTTGCACAATCCAAGCTTACTATCTTCAGCAGTCTTTAGAAGTTTCCCCTCTTTCTTTGCCGGCAGACAATTTGAAATCTTCGAAAAGGAAGAACTGTCAAAGCTGGGATCCTTCCCTGATGAACAAGTATCATTTATGTAAAACAATTAGAGCCAAGGACAAACACCAAAAAAAATAGAACATAATATGATAATGTTGATACGCATGTCTATTAAGTATGGAACAATTAACAAATAAGTATCATCACACAGCAAAATAGGCATCAATTGTTCTTCCAAAATTATAAATTACTGGACCTTGAATAAGTACTAT